AACACACAACCACAAACACACACACACAAACACACAACCACAACCACGCAACCACAAACACACAACCACAAACACACAACCACAAACACACAACCACAAACACACAAACACACAACCACAAACAACCACAACCACAACCACAACTACAAACACATAATCACAACCACTACCACAAACACAACCACAAACACATCCACAAACACACAACCACAAACACAACTACAAACACACAATCACAAAGACACAACCACAACCACAACTACAAACACACAATCACAAAGACACAACCGCAACCACAACCACAACTACAAACACACAATCACAACCACTACCACAACCACAAACACACAACCACAAACACACAAACACAACCACAACCACAACACAGCACACAACCCGAGGACCCACAAGCAACATCGAGAACTAGAATACTAACGACTATGGCAACATGCTCCTCACTATGGCATCAAGACAAATGATTGAAATGTCATGGTGGGGATCACTCGAAGTAAAGTAATTGTGTTTTTGTCAAGGGCACCGTGTCATTTCACAGTGTGGGGAAGGAGTTGACGGAATATATATATATGTATATATTTATCATATGTGTTAGAGAAGATTATTGCCAGTCGCGGAGACAAACAGCACAAGAATACAACACTACCCTTGCAAGAGCAAAGAACAACTGGACAAGTACGTTTACTTTCACGCATCTGCTACCAAAAATGTCCGGTGTGTCGATACAGACACATCCACAATGCACGAGGGTGTCATTATGTTTTTTAAAACAACTATGTTCTGGACACAATGTTTGTCTTTTGACCTTCTTATGTGGAAAGGTTCCTCCCACAACTCGATGTTCTTCTGCATGAAGACATTCTCTTCTTTTGGGTGTATTGGTTGCACTGCACTTAAAGTGTATTTTGGAGTATGTGTCATATACTGGTTGCTGATTAATTGCTGATACTCAAACCGGCAGCCCCACTCCAACCCATTCCAACCCTACCATATTTGTAGGAAAACACGTGTGCCATTGTTGGACAAACTTTAATCCACAAAGCTACAGCATTAAACCATATGTTCAGAATCTCTTATCTGCCCTCCACGACCCAAGCTTCGCACCCCAAACCCTCCACTCAGCATGCCCAAGTTGCTCTCCTCAAGCCCACTCACCACGAGCTTCGTGGAGCCCTTACCATTCTTCAGCCCAAAGCGCGCTGCCAGCTCTACCTGGTAGTCCGCAGGGTCCTTATGGACACATCCACAAAGCCTAAGGCCCCAAGCAACACATAGAAACACATATAATAGCGATGCCCCCCAAACCTAATAGCAATGGCCTCCAACCCCATAGCAATGGCTTCCAACCTAACAGCGATGGCAACCAACCTAATAGCGATGGCCTCCAACCTAATAGCGATGGCCTCCAACCTACTAGCGATGGCCTCCAACCTAATAGCAATGGCCTCCAACCTAATAGCGATGGCCTCCAACCTAATAGCCATGGCCTCCAACCTAATAGCAATGGCTTCCAACCTAATAGCAATGGCCTCCAACCTAATAGCAATGGCCTCCAACCTAATAGCAATGGCCTTCAACCTAATAGCAATGGCCTCCAACCTGATAGCAATTCCCTCCAAATCCTTCAAGACCCACACTTCGGCCAGCACCACTCCTTCCCCTCCCTCACTCCCCACACAACAAAAGAAACAGCCAAGGATCCACCAGCTGCACTGGGCCCAGGATCTCTTTCACCAAGGGCTCCAAAGCAGGGAAGTGCGTGCACCCGAAGATGAGGTAGTCGATGCGCACGCCCTCACCCTCACTCCTCCAGACATGAGAACGCTGTTTAGACGAACCAAGAACTCGAGGTGGTGGAATTAGATTATAGATGGATCTGGTGGGGTTTACTAGTGATCCACTCATTCCCTAATGGTTCCAAGGAAAAGCTTGGATACAAGCTCTGGACCTTAGGACACAAATGAACCCTAGCCACCATTGTCCGCTTCAAACTACCAAGCCATTAGTGCCCACGTCAAAATACCCCACCCCACTCCGCTTCGCTGGGTTTCCGGATGGCTCCCAAAGTCGGGAAATGGTGTTTGTCATGCCTAGACTTCAGCACCACAGCCAGGCGATCCGGTCGCGGCGAGATGACTTCAGCGCCCCAAATCCCATCAAACAAACTTGCCTGGGATTCGCAAGACCCAATAATATATAGTAAAAAAACCTAATCCACGGCCTAAAACTCTGCAGAACTGTCATGGTCAGTTTTCTTGCGACGACTCAATTCGCCCGGCGTCCCCAAGTAGGCAGCGAACTTCTTCCGCAGCATCGCCGTCGTCCTTTTCATTGCAGCATTTGTTGTTGGATGTAGGTGAGAAACCAAGTCTGGATCAAACGATGCTGGCACAATAGGCCCAAGTCACTGATGTAGAACATCGCGTCTACCCAAAAAGTGGGCCTTTGGATAAGTCTTGGAAGAAATGCTACTTGGAGGTTGCATGGATGCATCCTGCTCAAGAACCTTGCAACCTCAGGACTCTTCCATGAGGCTATGCAAGTTACTAAGGAATTGAGTTGATGGACTGGAAATTTATCTATACATTTAAATATGCATTGTATCTATATATATCCATATATCTCTATTAAAACAATTATATATATATTGATCAATCAATCAATCCATCCATCAATCAATCTACTTCCATCAATCAATCTACTCATATAATCTATGTTCTATCTATCAATCAACCAAATAGTCAAGCAAACAATCAATCCATCAACCCATCAATCAGTGAATGAATGAATGAATGAATGAAGGAAGGAAGGAAGGAATGAATGAAGGAATGAATGAAACAACCAACCAACCAATCTATCAACCGAATCGATTCGGAGCCGAACTTTCGGAACCGACAGTCAGCGAATGTCAAGAAACGAAATGTTTCA